GCGCCTTGGCAGGTGGGAGCCCCTGCGAGCGGAGCCGGAGGGCAGCGCACATGGTGCTGGTGCGGCACCGCACGCAGCCGCGGCCTCCGCCGCCGCAGCCCGCCCGGCCTCGCGTTTGATGTTTTATGCAAATCCTTAGCTCCCCAAGCCAGGGAATTTTCTGACTTCCCACCCGCCATCGTCTTTACCCTCATCTTAACATTCCTCCCTCTTAAGGATGGAATGAAAAGTTAATAAAAAGAATCTAATTCACAAAGTCTTGCAAGTTTTCAGAGCATCCTCCTGGGCACAGAGAGTGACTTAAATCACTGAGAAAAAGCTGCCAGGCTCCAGGCGAGTGTTTCCGGCACCTGAGCGATGCCCGAGGCCGTGTCCCTATGTGGGGCTGGTGGGCCCCTCACCGTGCCAGCCCCCCAGGCAGCTCCACTCCTTCCCTCTTCCCCCCCCAGCCAGCCGGGTCAGGGATTTCCCCTGTGCTTTGGAGGCGCTGCAGGATCTGTGTCCTGCTGTGTGGCACAAGAGCAGCCCATCACGGAGCGTGGCAGGGGAGGGGGTGCTGGCCTCGTGCCCACGGAGGCAGCCGTGCCCCACGTGCCCTTCTCCAGGCAGGCTCAGGGACGAGGCGCTCCTGGGCCAGCCAGGGCATCTGTCCGTGGCTGGCAAGGAAAGCAGTGTGCAGAGGGGCCAACAGGCTTTGGAGCTGCGGTCCTCAGCTCCCTGCTCCCCCTCACACTGTCTGTGTGTGTGTGAATATATATTGCTGCAGCACAAAAGGGCAGAAATCAATGCTAATGTCCCCGGCAATTAGCTAATGTCTTAATTATCAAACTCTGCCCGATTCGCCATGCAGCACGTGGCTCCAGAGATGCCTGGGGCGTCACAGCGAGCGGGAGCTGGGCAGAACCGCAGGGTGCTGCTGCCGGCAGCGGTGGCTCATCCGGGTGCCAGCTCCGCAGCCAGGCCGGGCCTTCTGGGAGGACGGCTTCCAGCACAGAGGCAAACTGTGCTCCCAATGCAGGACACGCATTGGCAGCCAGCAGAGGGGCCCCAGGCGGGTTCGGGCAGAACAGGCCTGGAAGGAGCTTGGGGCGCTGGAAAGTTTGCCAAGAACGTTTGCATGGGTGCTCCTCAGTTTTAAAGCTTTTATAGAAGGAGGGGAGAGGGGAAAAGATAAACAAGACGGATGTTCTCCAGTTTTGCATGATGCAAACCCTAAATAAAAGTAGTCAGATGCTTCTCATCAAATCTCTATTCTTTCAGATCAAGGAAAAATGAGGAGGAAGTTATTAGTAGTAGGGTGAGTGAGGTTACTTGTTACCCACTCTCAGTGCTCTTGAGCACACACGTCCCCCGTGTGTCCTCGCAGCTGCTCACTGCTGGCTTCATCATCAGCGTGACCGAGAGAGGCAAAATCTTTGCACCAAGTCAGGATTTTTACACGTAAACCATTTTCTTTAGCCCATGAGCCATAGAAGGCACTAAGTTGGGAGAGCTCGCGAGCAGAGCTCTGCAGGGCTGGTATAGCCGTTCACTCCGTAACCAAATGGGTGCCCCGGCTACTTGTTTGTCCCTCTGCTCCTGCCTGGCGCAGAGCACAGGTTCATTTTGGCAAGGAGGTACCAGGGACCCAGTCTCAGAGGGATCCTGGGCCATGAGAGGGCTCCCTGGGGCGGCTGGCACGTACTGGGACGGCGCAGGACGCAGCGCACCGCGTTTCCACCCGAGCTGCGGGCAGCCAGGCCAGGCAGCGGTGCCCTTGGAGCAGCCAGGACGCTGCTGCAACGGCCGCGATCGAGGTCGGAAGGCACCAAAGCGATGGTGAGGGGCGGCAGGCAGCACGCGCAGGCTGCGGGAGCAAGCCCCTCCGCACAAACCTGTGCCCGTTGTGCCAGGCTGGCGGCAGAGCGCAAGCTGGGCAAGGCACGCACCAGCCTCCTCGCGGTCCCGCTGCTGCCGGGGTGTCCAGAGCAGCCAGGGCGAAGCACAAGAAGCCCCGTTGAGACGAGCTCGCTATGAGCCGTGACCCCGCCAGCCCTGGCGCCCCGGGAGCCGCAGCTCCCGCTCAGAGCTAGCAAGGAGCCGGCCCCGATGGCTGCGGATGCGAGAAGCTGAAAAAGCGTAATTAAAGTGCACCCTCAAGGGTCTAAAAATGGAAGAGGTAGGGAGAGGAAGAAAGAGAAATTCCATGTTTAAATGTGATGAATCATCTGCTAAATCCCAGTTTGGGAGAACCCGGGGCTGGTGCCTGCTGGCCAGGCACGGGCGCTCGGGCTCCTGGCCTGCCTCCCCGCTTTTTCTATCACTTTTTGCAGGCAATCAGAGCGAATCCTTACATGGTGGGAGGCTCGAGGGCTTCCTGTGCACCCTGATCTCATCCTCGAGGCTCTCCGGGGGACACCTCAGTCCCCTCTGCTACCCTGGCCCCAGTCCCAGAGCCCTTCCCTCGCCTCCCACCACTTGCTGCAGTTTTGTTTTGCAAGAGAGCCTAGAGACACAGCAGGGAGCCACAGTGTAGGTGGAATAAGCCCTCAGATTCAACGGTTGGAAGCCGGGAGCTTTCACAGGGCTCTGCAGCCGAGGCAGGAAGGCTGCACTCCCTCCCTCCGTCCCTGTCTCGGCAGCCGACGGCGGGGCTCTCCGGCGTGGCCCACTTCCATATTTTTTACACCCTGCATTTACGCTGGCTGACAACGCAGCCCTTGTGGCGTTGCACCGGCTCCCAGCTCGGGGAGGGTTTGCGGGTGACGCCCTCCGGCTGCCCGCGCGTCCCCGTGGCGCCCTGGCTCCTCGCGCCCCTCCAGCTCCTCGTGCCCCTCCGACACACGCGTGCTCCGGCCGGCTGCTGGCGCTCTGCCCAGGCCAGCCCCAGGCAGCCCCCATGGGGATGCCACCACCCACTGCCTCCAAGCGCTGGCCCTGCCGGCCACAAGACGGCCCGAAGCTGTCCCCAGTATCTCCTTGTGAGCCCAGGAGTCAAACCTCACCCACCCAGGCCTGCCACAGCCAGAAACGCTGCTTTTCCCAGCTCACGCTGAAGGAATATGATTTTTTTTTAATTCTTTTTTTATAACCTCGCTGAAGCAGAATCAAGAAGAGATTCACGTGCTCATGATGGACATCCCAAAAATGCTCTACATCCATTAGCTCCTATCCGGGCTCTCCTAGGGAGAGCTTCCTGCCACATTCAATGCTCTGCAGGAGCTCGATGCCTCAAGCACCTTGTACAAGCTGCGTTTTCTTGGCACATACCCTGCTGAGAGCCCAGCCCCATTTCCACAGCAGTGGATTTTGATTTTTGCCCAGCTTTCCCTCCTTCTCAGGGCTGATCCGAGTTGACACCTGACACTGCAATTCCCACAGATTGCTCCCATCACTGTCATGGCCGATTTTCATTCCCTAGCAGCCAGACCCTGAACCCCAGGGAAGCAGCAGGGCATCATAGCAGAGCTCTGACCTGTTGCCGCTGCTGTGGCAGGGACTTGCTCCCCAGTTCATCACCTACCAGCTACCTGGAGCTGCCGTCGCTGCATAGCTTGGCCCGCCAGGCTGACAAGACGGAAGAAGACATAAAGCAAAGGCTAGAAGTTCCTCTAACAGGGAGCAGGCAGGGCTGCATTTCGCTCCTCAAGAGCCAGCCCCTGCAAGCACACCCAGTCCTGCGTCCACAGCAGCTCTCGGCACTGCTCCCCACGAAGCCACACACACATTAGCCACCAGGAGCACGACCACATTGGTGTAGGGGCCTTTCCTCTGAAGCGGAATTTGGTTTATATGCAAGTCCTCGTTCCCTGCAGCTTCTTGATGAGCAGTGAATTGGCTCCACTCAAAACCCATCACTGCCTAATGCTCAGTAGAGGGTTCTCAGCAGGGTCAGTGCTCTGGGTCCTCCAGGGCACCACCTGCCACATAGGTGGTGTGATCTGCTGTTAATTCCCTTTTCCATGGAGCTTGGTGCCCCATTCCTTCACCCATGTCCCAATCATGGGGCTGCCGTGGCTGGCTGACAGTGGGGACGAGCCTCAGGGCTGAGCTGCTTGGTGGTGACCCTGCGTGCACACAAGACATACGTGTGTGCACGTGCGGACAGGAGGCCTGTGCTCCCCCAGCACCTCCCTGCCTTGGTGCTTAAGGTTTTGGGGTGCTCTGTGAGGCCTGTGGCTCACGTGCCACCCTCTCGGTGCCGTTTCAGGGCAGTCAGGGTCCCCGAGGACAGTGCGGGGCGAGAATGACGGAGCCAGCCGGGAGGCGGAAGCATGAGGCGGCGGGACGGTGCTCGCTGTGAGGGGCCCCGGCGGATGCTCGCGTGGCCGCTGGCGCTCCTGGCGCTGAGCGCGTGTTGCTGCTGCGGGGCGGGCAGCCCAGCACCCGAGCAGCATGCGGCCGCTGCGGCTGCCTCCTCTTCCTCCTCATCCTCCTCATCCTCGGCACCCCTCGACTGGCTCCTCACCGACCGCGGCCCCTTCCACCGAGCCCAGGCCTATGTGGACTTCATGGAGCGCTACCGGCAGGGCTTCACCACCAGGTACCGGATCTACAGGTGAGCGGCAGGCGCCAAGGAGGGTACGCACCAGGGGACAGCGCAGGGCATGGGGGCTGCAGTCGTGGGGCCGGCTTGGAGCGGACCTCATCCACCTCCCTGTGCGAGCGAGCAGTGCAGGCTGAGGGCCAATGCAGCCAGCACACAGCCCTGCCGGATGGCACTCCAGCGGCCTGGGGCTCTGCATGGGGAGGCCTGCGGTGACGGAGAGCACGCAGGAGGCTGGTCACACCTGTCTGCCGCTCGCACGCCCTTCCCGGTGTCACCCCGCACTCTTCCCGACGTGCTGCAGCTCCCACGCCCTCCGTGACGCACCGTGGCTCCTGCGCTGGGGCTCCTGAGGCCACGGGTGACGCTGCTGGGACGGGAAGGAGCCCTCAGGGGTGCTGCCGGCTCGCTCACATGCACGCACGCGTCTCCTCCAAGGCGGATAACGAGCCGGCAGCCTCTTGTGCTGCCCTCCTGGAGTGCTGGGAAGGGTGGCATGGGGACCTCGCAGGCTGCTGTCACACAGGGGCCTCCTCGGGCACCCTGAACATGCAAGACCACAAGTCACCCTGGCAGGCACCTGGCACCCTGCAAGTGGTGCTTGGCTTTCCTGTTTCCCTCCTCCTCCCCCGTCTCTCCCAATCAGCCCTAATTAAACTGTCTGAAAGCCACAGCCTGATTTTAATTAGAGTAAAATGGTGACGATTAGGCAGAAATTGGCCGATCATTGTTTACAGCGGCAGCCACGGCTGCTGGGCCGGGCTGGGCGATGCCAGTGCCGCGGGGCTGGGGCCAGCACGGCCACTGCCAGCGGAACGGCCCATACAGATGCAGCCACCCGCACGTGCTCCCTTCCCGACAGCCTTCCCGACGGCCTCCCTTCCCGACGGCCGAGGGTGAGCGTCCCTCGCCCTCTCTGTGATGACAGCTCCTCCCAGCATGGTGACAGCTCCCCGCACAGCTCATCCCGGCATCTCCAGCTTTGCGCCCAACGCTATCAACGTTTAAATGCAATAAACACCCAGCGGTTGGATTTTCACCCAGATCCATACGGATGTAATGTACGAGAGGGGAATCAAAGATGGATTAGTCCCGTCCAGGCTTGCTCGTGTGTGATGGAGCTGGGCCCAATAGTGATTAACGCCAAGCGGAGGTGGCTGATTTGTCAATGCTAACGGACACCTCCGATGCTTGTAGCTCATGATTACCATCGATGGCTTAGGGAGGGCCTCAGGTTTTCATCCGGGCTCCAGCTTTAGCTGGCAGCATCAGTACGTGATCCCAAGGCCAGGGAGAGAAGCACACCTGGGTCCTCCTCTGCAGCCCTGGCTGTCACCCCGCGATTCCACACTGAGGAGCTGCAGTAGGGGCAGGTCCTTCCCCTCCAGCTCCACCAGGGAGAGGGGGAGGCTGCAATGGTCCCTTTGGAAGCTTTCCCAACTATTAATCCCCTGTAGCATCGCAACTACTTGCTTTGCCCTGCTGAAATCCAGTTCATCCTCTTTGAGCGTCTCGTGCATCCCTCAGGCCTCCAGAGGTGGTCCTGGGCTTGCACCTGTCCGAGGAAAGTCCTGCCGGCTGGTTTTCCTGTTTCCCGACTCCCGCAGCTCACGGCCGCTCTCCTTGGCTTCTTTCTGCAGAGAATTTGCTCGCTGGAAGGTGAATAACTTGGCGCTGGAGAGGAAGGACTTCTTCAGCTTGCCGCTGCCCCTCGCTCCCGAGTTCATCCGCAATATCCGCCTGCTGGGACGCAGGCCCAGCCTGCAGCAGATCACCGACACCCTCATCAAGAAGTATGGGACGCACTTCCTGCTGGCCGCCACGCTGGGAGGTGAGCGCTGCCTGGCCGCGCGGGCAAATTCCCTTTTCCAATCACATGGAGGGTCTGCAAAGCAAACGCTAGAGATGGTTTTGGAGAAATAGGGCCAAGGGAGGGGAGAAAAGAAAGCAGCTGCTCCTGAAACACATGGCGTGTCCCTGCAGGAGAGGAGTCCCTGACCATTTTTGTGGACAAACGCAAGCTGAGCCGACGAGCGGAGCCCGTCAGCGCCGCAGGAGGGGCCAGCAACGGCTCCACCGTCTCGCTGGAGACACTGCACCAGCTGGCTGCCTCCTACTTCATCGACCGGGAGAGCACCCTGCGCCGGCTGCACCACATCCAGATCGCCACGGCGGCCATCAAGGTAGGCGAGGAGCGCGAGGGAGAGGGCTGTGCGGGGAGACTGCACCCTGGGCCTCGCCAGCGGCCAGTGAAAGCTGCGTGGGGCTGCTGCAGCCCCTTGCACGTGGGTAGCACAGCCCCTCGTCCCACGGCTGCAACCCCCTCCCTGCTGAGCAAGCAGCCCTCGGGACTGTGGGGAGAGCAGGGGGTGGGCAAGCCCCAGACCCGTTAGTGCGTTTGCTACTTCTGGGAAATTGGGCACGCTAATGAAGCCACATTTTCCAGCGGGCTGGAGGCAGAGCTGCTGGCTGTCAACAGGCCAATTAGCAGGCAATTAGGCTCTCCAAGCATCCCGGTGGCCTCCCCAGGCTTCGGGTGGCCTGGCCAGCTCCCTTGAGAGCTGCTCAGAGCCGCTCTGTGCACAGCGGTGACCCTCAGCACAAGGGAGCATTTAGCTGAGTGGCCCCTGTCCCGTGTCTCTGTGTCCCTGCGAGCCCTTGACGGCCTTTGCTCCTGCCCAGGTAACGGAAACGCGGACGGGACCACTGGGCTGCAGCAACTACGACAACCTGGACTCGGTCAGCTCCGTCCTGGTGCAGAGCCCTGAGAACAAAGTGCAGCTCCTGGGTAAGGGCCGGGCCAACCACAGAGGGCAGCGGCGGGGAAGGGGCCGCAGCTGGAAAAAGCACATTGCAAATACTTATGGGGGGCCTTTAGGACACACGCAAATCTGGGGTAACCAGGACCCTTTGGGCATCATCAGCCCTGCAAGGTGAAGCTGAGGAGATGGCTTGGTGCCCTGGGACCCACCAGAGCCGTGTGGGCAGGCCCGCGCCGGGCAGGACGCCCAATGCAAGCCGGGCGCTGGCTCCAGCCTCAGTGCCCACGCAAGCCGATCGATGGACAAGGCGCTGGCGAGCGTGGGGGCTGCCAGGCGCTCTGCAGGGAGGCAGGGATGCGTGGGGACAGCGCCGCTGCAGGTGCCACCGTGGGATGCCACTGTGGGATGCTGGCGGGCACGCAGGCGCCACTGGACAGGATGGGCTCGCTGCTATTAAGCTGTTGCTTTTTAATGTAAGGGCTGGGGAGGGAGGAGGAAACAAAGCTGGGCAGGAAGAGGCTGCTGCTCCTTCGCCAAGAGGAGCCAAGATCAATGCAGAGCCCAGACACGCGGCTTCGAGGCAGACAGACGTGACTATGGAATGGAGCCGCTGCCCGGGGCCCCACACCACCTGGGGGCGCGCTGCGTGGCGGCCGCGCTCAGCTACATCGCATGCAGCTCGGCCGGGGAGCTGCTGTGCCGGAGCAACGACTGCTGCTGCCAATGCCGCACCGCCTTCCCCCAGTGCAACTGCCCCGAGGCCGACATCCAAGCCATGGAGGGCAGCCTGGCCCAGCTGCAGCGTGCCTGGGAGAACCACCACGGCCAGTTCGAGGAGTCAGGTGAGGGCAGTGCAGCTGCCCCGCACTGCCACCAGTGCCAGCCACGTGGCGGGCAGTGACACTGAGGGGCAGCACAGGGCAAGTGGTGACCGGGAGGAAGAGTGAGTGGCGGCAGTTCCCGTGGTGCCTTTGCTGTCGCCTCCCCAGCTCTGCTAACGCACTCCCTCTCCTCGCAGAGGAGTTCCAGGCCTTGGTGAAGAGACTCCCGGGGGACCGTTTCCTGAACAGGACGGCCATCTCCCACTACTGGGCCATGGACCTGGATGTCCAGCACCGCTACCAGCAGCTGGGCACCAGCCTGAAGCTGCTCTCCAGGAAAACCCACCGAATCATCCGGCGGCTCTTCAACCTCAGCAAACGCTGCCGCAGGCAACCTCACTTCAAACTGCCAAAGGAGAGGTAGGACATCTCCTCCCAGCCGTGCTGGTGTGGCCCTGTCCCCAGGCTGGGAGCATAGGCCAAATCCCCAAGCAGGGTTCAGACCCACTGCCCATCTTCCTGTCTGTAGGGCCCCCCAGGAGCCCCCACCATGACTGACGGAAGGCTGGTGGTGAGAAGTCAGTAGAGGCAACTTTGGCCTGGGGACGTGGTCCTGGTGAACTGGGTTAAGGCCTGGGTGTGAAAAATGGGGCTCAGCACAGAGGGAGTCACCAGAAGTGCAGTATGATCCCAGGAAAACATACACAAGGTCTTCCCTAGAGAAGGTCAGTCGCTCACCCACAAATGTCCCCCGTAAGCATTACTGCTGCCTCGCTTCCTTCCCCTCCGCTAGGTCTCTGCCTTACTGGTGGAGCCGCGCTCAGTCGTTCCTGTACTGCAGCGAGAGCACCGTGCCCGGGACGTTCCTGGAAGAAAGCCACAGCTGCAGCTGTCCCCCCGAACAAGCCTCCTGCCAGGGGCCCATCCCTTGTGCCTTGGGCGACGGGCCAGGCTGCGCCAGCTGTGCCGAGGACAACACCACGCGCTGCGGGGCCTGCAACCACGGCTACGTGCTCACCCAGGGCTTCTGCCGTCCCGAGGTGGCTGACTCTCTGGAACGCTACCTGGGCCTTGAGACGGACCTGCAGGACTTGGAGCTCAAGTACCTCCTCCAGAAACGGGACAGCCGCATCGAGGTGCACTCCATCTTCATCAGCAATGACATGCGCCTGGGGAGCTGGTTTGACCCATCCTGGAGGAAGCGCATGCTGTTGACCTTGAAGAGCAACAAGTACAAGCCTGGCCTAGTTCACGTGATGTTAGCCCTCTCGCTGCAGATCTGCCTCACCAAGAACAGCACCCTGGAGCCTGTAATGGCCATCTATGTCAACCCCTTTGGGGGAAGCCACTCGGAGAGCTGGTTCATGCCGGTCAACGAGGGCAGCTTCCCAGACTGGGAAAGGACTAACGTAGATGCCTCTGCCCAGTGCCAAAATTGGACACTCACTTTAGGGAACAAGTGGAAAGCCTTCTTTGAAACAGTCCACGTCTACTTGCGAAGCCGCATCAAATCTCTGGATGACAGCTCCAACGAGACAATCTACTATGAACCCTTGGAGATGTCAGATCCCTCCAAGAATCTAGGGTACATGAAAATCAACAGCTTGCAAGTCTTTGGCTACAGCCTGCCCTTTGAACCGGATGCTATTCGCGACCTGATCCTTCAGCTAGACTACCCCTATACACAGGGCTCCCAGGATTCAGCCATGCTGCAGCTTTTAGAGATCAGGGATCGGGTGAACAGGCTGTCACCCCCTGGCAAAACCCGCCTTGACCTCTTCACGTGCTTGCTCCGCCACAGGCTCAAGCTGGCCAATAACGAGGTGGCAAGGATCCAGTCCTCCTTGAGGGCCTTCAACGCCAAGCTGCCCAACGCAGTAGAGCAGGAGACCGGCAAGCTGTGCAGCTAACAGCCAGGGCTGTGCAGAGCTCAGAGCAAGGGGCTGGGGAAAAGGACTATAGTAATAATGCTAATAATAACCACCCTTAAAAAAATTAAAGCAAGGCCTTACCTTGGTGCCAACTGTGTGCTTCCATGGTAGCCCCAGCAACTGGCCAAATGGATGGTAGGGCTTGTGCTCAAGGAGGAAGCCCGCAGGAGCACACAGGGTGGCATGTGCAGCTCAGACTGCGTCAAGCATGGGGATACTGCCAGGAAGCCCAGCCTGCAGGGCCCAGGTTTCGATGCGCCTCTCCGCTGTCGTGCTCGGGAGGATGCGCAGCCACGCGGGCTTGCAGGGGGAGCAGCTCGGCAGAAGGCAGCCACAGGCAGGCAAGGAGCGAGCCCTGGGACGCCGCTGGCCCTGTGCACCAAGGGTCCCCTGCGCCCCGTTGTGTGGAGAAGGCAGCAGTGCGTCCTCGGCACCCTCCCTTTTGTATTCTTTTTAAGAGAGGTTTCTACCACCACCTTTGCTTTGCCTCCCCGTGCTCCTCCTAGGGTGGTGTCATTGCACACAGGCTTGTGGCACAGGGCTGGGGCCCTCCCTGAGGCCTCTTGGCCCCATTTGGGTAAGGTGAGCGTCTTGGCAAGGGTCTGTGGCCCACCGCGCTCAACCCATACCGCGATACGCCAAGACTGGACGGCGACACTGATCGTGCAGGCGAGGACTTGGCTTCTGCCCCAGGGATGCTGCTGTTATGGACAAGGTGGACATCCCTGGGCCACTTTTCCTTATGACAAAAAAAAAGAAAGAAAAAAAGAAAAAAAAGTTTTATTTATGTATTTATTTGGTTGTCTTGTTTTAGAGGGCTTTTTTTTTCTAACTTATTTATTTGGGGAGGGTCATTCCTTGTCAGTGGCTTCAGCCATGGGACATCTTAGTAAAATGTTATCTGTTTAATATATTTTTTTAAAAATGCCTTTTTGAGCAAAAGAGCAACCAAAAACAAGCAGGAAAAAAAAGGAACAGTTACTGTCAGTTACTGGCTTTTCTGTGGCTGTGTTTGGAAGGGGATGTAGAGGAGGCCACACATTCAAGGGCCTTGCTTCCAGCACCCCCCTGCATGTGCCACCCCCATCTCCACCTCAGGTGCATTCTGAAAACAGAGGGAAGATGGCCCTTGGCTCTAGCGTTAGAAGAGATGGTGAGCAGCTGCCCTTCACCTATCCTTTCTAGGCCACTTGGTTTGCCAGTGATGACATCACCCAGCAGCCATCTTTGTCAGACTGGAGCGTCTTGGCTCCCTGACTTAGTCTGCCCCATACTTTTGGTAACCTTGAGTGCCTTCTCAGGGCCCTCTCTAGCGTGTAAGGGAGAACTGGAGCCAGCCCAGAAGCCCTTCGGCTGGGACCTGCCGCCATGCTCCACACACCTCGGTCCCCACGCAGCCCAGCAGTGCCACACGCCCGCACCCGTGCTGCCTTGGTGACACAGAGTGGGCTGCATCTTACCACACGCAGAAGGTGTATGGGGAAGGCTCAGTGCCCAACTGAGGCCCCGGCGTGGTGCTCGCCACCTGGCCATGTTTTGTAGCTCCCTGATCGGGGCCATGTGCATGAACGTGAAAAAAAGGATGAAATACATAGATATAAATCCATAGGCATCCTCCTCAGCTGGAAGATCTTGCCTATTTGCAAAAGCTGCAGCAAGCCCCCCCGCCAGCCTTGCCTGAGACAGATAAAGAGATAAGCAAGGCAGGGGGATAAAACCCAGGAGAGGAAACTGTGCTTGCTATTTATATTCCCTGTCTAATCTATCAATCCATCAGGCAGTCCACTGTGGTTATAGCATCCCTCAATCTGTCACTTGGGTTTCTGCTCTCCCTGCATCTGCCTTGCCACCCTTCACCCCCCTTCTTCTTCAGTCCTGAAAGGGAGACCAACTCAAGAGTTTGGCAGAGCCACTGGCTTGGTTTCTGATGCTCCTTGTGCAACTCATCTTGCCTGGAGAGTGCGGTGATGGTGGCCTGGAGCACAAAGAGCAACTGGGTTCAGCCGTGCCTGGGTGGTTGGCACCGACTATGGGGAAGTCTTGACCACTTGAGGCCGTGTCAGTCAGAGAGACCAAGTTTCTCGTTTTTGCCAAGCACACTCCTGGGTCTTCGGTGGCTGCTTCATCTCTCCCTAACGCCGAAGCTCAGGACTGTACCCTTCCACTTCTCCCATACTGTGTCTCCTCTAAGCAGAGCTTGTCTCATTGTGTTTTCCTCCATACTTAACCTAGCAGCTGCTATCCAGCCTAAAGGCACTCAGACACAAATGCAACGGGCAGCTGGGAGCTTAGCCGGCATCTCAAAGACTCTGGGACTCCAAGAGGAGCTCTTCCAGCAGACTCATGCTGAGCAAGAGCACAGACGTGCTCCTCACCCCGGCAAGCGAAAGCCTCAAAATGCTCATTTCCATATGAATTCTTCGTTGCTATACAGAATACATGAAAGCAGTAACTCATGTGACCAGTGGCAAAGGCTTCACAGCAGCCCAAACATCATGGGAAATGCATCCGGGCACTGTCGGGGCACGCACACGGGTCTCCTTTTGGCTTGCAGACAATCCATGCAGCAGGAGGCCGACCCCAGGCTTATCCATTCTAGGGTCAGCTCTGAGCTGGGCACCACTGTCCATATGACAGCCAGGGGATGCCACAAGAGCTGCACTAACATCTCCCCTCCTTGCAGCCCAGTGCTATTAGGCCATGTTGCCCAAAAGCACAGGGTCACGACCCAAACCATTGAGTCCCAGCTGGAGCGAGTCCAGGGCTGTATCCACAACTATCCCGGCTTCCTGGCTCATTCTGGATCAGCATCAAGGTAATTACAGTGGCGGAATGAATACAGGCTCAATAACACTGGAAACAACCCCAGCTGCCAGTCCCTCATTACAGGCAAGGCTGAACTGTTCCATGCTCAAACAGGGAGAAGGCGGGGGAGGACCCAGAGTTTTGCTGACAAATTGCTGGATTTGGGAAGAGGAGCACATCCATGCATTTTGCTGCTGGGAACAGGGCGCGCGCTTGAGTTACAGCAAGAGCGGTGACTGCACGCCTGTCCCGGGGGAGGAGCCCGTGGGAGCCTGTGGGCTGCGCATTAATCCGGGGCGTAACAAGCGTATCCCGATTCCTGTTCGGCAATTAAGGCATTCAAAGGAGGTGATTAAGAAGACAAGGTCAATAACCAGAGGTCAGCATCTGATTACCTGCTAGTGCTTTTCTCTGCAGATAATATCCCGGTAGGGCTGGCTGGGAGGATGACACTACCCAGGGCCCACGGCATCGGCAGCATCTCCCCCAGGGTTGCTCAGCAAGAGTTGGCGCCGGGTGTTCTCAGCCAGCTCAAACTGTACTAAAAGCAGCCAGGAGAGTTTTGCCATCGAGTGAGGCAAGTGAGGGAGGCCGTGAGGCTGAGCTCAACCTGTGGGCAGTTGCTCCACCTGCCCAGTTTCCCCGTCTGTGAACCCAGGACAAGGCTGTGCCAGCCTGGACGAACAGCAAGGGCAGCCCAGGAGGTGGTGCAATGCTGGGGGGCAAGGGAGAGCTGGGATCCCCAGGGAGCAGGGTGCATGTCTGGGATGTGCAAGCAAACCTGGCATGCAAGCAGCACACCAAGGGTGCAGATTTACCTTGAAATCCATCCTGAAGCTGCCCGGAGAGTTCAGAAACCATCAGTGGGGATTTTCCCTTCCTGCTTTGCATGGTGAGGCAGGGAAGGA